GGAAACGGAAGAGACCTCCGACTTGTAGAAGAAGACTAATCGAGCTTGAATTCGTGGAGATCGTGAGTAGAGAAGAGATCGAACCGTATTTTACTTCGAGTTTCGATCACGAAAACAGAGTAAAAAAATCCGCTAAAATTAGCTTCTGCGAGTGTAAATGATCAGTAATTTCTCCAATCGCCATTGTTAATTAGCTTCTTCTTCTTCTTCTTCTTCTTCTTCTTCTTCTAATTCTTTCTTTTTTCCTCTTCAATTAATGTAAAATTCTCTCTGAACGCTAATGTAAAACGAATTATCACACGTTACGTTCAATGTATGTAAGACGATTTTAGTTTCCGCTCAAAATTTCAGATCCGAATTCGATCAAAAACTACAATTAATTAATATTTCACAATTTCAGGAAATTGAATTTGTTCGTTTTTCATTGGATCTCTCTTGAGTTTTTAGGTGCGATAAGGGAAAGAGAAACGGCGTGAAGACAGAAGAGAAGATGAGAAAGCGAAAGGGCATTTTTCTGGTTGTTACGTAATTTCAAGATAAGAAGATAGTGGCTGATCTGTCTAATTTATATTAAATAATTACGAGTTATATCTCAAAATTAATTAATTAAATGTTCATTAATTACTAAATCTAATATTGCTTACATCACCGAAAATTGTTACCCATTGCATTCTTGATATACTTAGTATAGGTATTACCACGCGAATAAATTAGAGAAGTTTTATTTTAGAGAGTCGATGTGAGACTTTCATCAAACACCTCCCTTCGAACAAATTATGTCTTCTGTTCGATATTTGAGGATTTTATTGACATGTCTAATTTAGAGCATGACTTTAATATTATGTTAGATGAACACGACTTTCGATAATGATATGATATTGTCCACATGTTCAAGGCTTTGCTCTAGGCTTCTCAAAAGACCTTAAACCAATGAAGATAATATTTTTTTTTTATTATAAACCATGATCATTCCCTAAATTAGGCGGTGCGACTTTATCAGCACACTAGTGATTTAACCTGTTACTCATTAGAGTAGTACGTAATTTATTTTTAATTACGGAATTTCGTACGATTTTCGAGTCAGCAACTAATAATAATAAAAAAAAAGATAATATATAATTTTTTAAAAAAATTTATTTTAGTTTATGTATATTGTTTCTCTTTCATATCTCTTAGATAGTGAGATCCCATCTAGAGGATCTGGTGGAAGAGTAAAAAGAGAGGCAGCTTGCATGCAAAAAGGTCTTCGGGCAATGGAAGAGAGTGCCAATTACGAAAATATCCTTGTTTAGTTTCAATTAATTGTAAAAATTCAATTTAATTTTTTTTAGTTAATTTTTGCTAAATATTAAAAAGTATTTTATATAACATGTTTTGTTCAAACATTATTGATATTCAATAACAATACAGATCTTTTAGAAGATTTAAACAAATTATAATTAAATACAAAATTAAAATGATAATTTAACTTAATTTATTTTAGAAAAATGAAGCATAATATATATTAATTAACATCAAATCATTATTTATTGCTTCTAAAACATCCCTTCTTACCCAAAGGACAACGTAAATTCCTTTTTCTTTAATTTTAAAATCAAAATTGTTTTCAATAGTCAAAATGACAGCGGGCGAGAGGGAACTGTTCAAGCAAGAAATAATTCATGTCCCAAATTACCATTTTACCCTTTTTTTTAATTGAAATTGAGTGGATAATTAGAGAACACGATATATTCTTGTATTCTTTTTCAATTTCAATCACAAGAAATTGAACGAAAAAAAAAAAACCAAAAAGGACAGCATGCTCGTCTTGTTACGTGTCACAATTATATTTACTCGTCTCCGATACTTAAATTTTTAAATATTGACAAAAATAAAAAAAAAGCTATATTAATAGAAAAGATCTACAATGAAAACAAAGTAAAAGGTTTGAAACAGGTAGATGGCCACTACCAGCAATGACCTCCCGAATGATTTAGAGATTAATGAAATTACGATCAACCATTCGTTGAATCAAAGAGAGTAAGCAATTCACTTCACAACACATAAGGCTAAATTATTGGGTTGATTGACGAGTTAACGAAGATATCAAAACTAGTTGTGAATTCGAACTCCAATATTGCTATATCATTTTCACGTGTTTGTTAATTTATTTATTTTTATTAAAAATAAAATAATATTTTGGAAATTGGGCAAAGAAATTCCATATGTAACATACAAGCTTGGGTATAATAATTATATATGAAAGAAATGATTAAAAATTGAAAAAAGAGTTTGAGGAATGTTCAGTCAATAGCTTCATTTTGACGTGTGTGATAACTTGGAGAGGATAATGAGTTATAGCATAAATGAAAGAAGAATTTGACTCAAATAGTAAACAAATTGTTGTATAAATTACGACCCGATTCTTTTTAACCTATCATAAAAATTTTGGTCGAAAATTATGACATAAAACAGTATAGAATCACGTAACGATTGAAATTTTTATTTTAGGTCACAATTTGATCATTTCATATTTTAATATAGCGTAGAATTTATATATATGAATATATTTAAATGGTATTAATTATTATAGATATTTTAATTTTCGTTTTAATTAATGTGCTAGTTTGAAAAGGTACTAGTAATGGTAATAAACTGTTTTACTGAAAGAGAAAAAAAAAAATTATTTGGTAAAGAGTTACGCTATCGCCATGCAAAATTGTGATGTTCAAGTGATTCTGAAGGCAGCCTCGCCAATGAGAATTTTATGTATTTTTTTTCCCTAAAAAAGGACAGATTGGAGGATTTTTTTTTTTTTTTTTTTTTTTTTTT